TTCTGGGAGGACTCTTCTCTGGCTCCTGCCACAGACGTCCATCTGCAAGAGGAAAAAGGGAAGCCTGGCAGGCCACGGGCCTCCTTCCCACAGCCAGGCGTGTTCAAAGACACCCCAGGGGCGGGAACCTACCACCCTCCTCTCCTGGGACCACTGGTGGTAGCAGAGGTGGCAGGGCCAGTAGAGGACCCTGACAGGGGAATCCAAGGCAAGGCATTCCTGCAGAGCCATCCAGGCAGCCACGAAGCAGCTGTGGCCAACAGCTCTTAGAGGGAATGTGGCCCACAGGGCTCAGGAAACAAAGGGGCACCCTCCCACCAGCACCCCAGGCGTGGGCCCTACCAGGCCCTCATGGCCAGGGAACAGTCTACAGTGATGCAGATAGCTTAGGTCAGGGTCAGGAGCATGGCCCAGGCCATCATATAGGAGTGGCTTTATGAACAAGTCCGGGTCTTGTTCATAGAGGTGCCTGGACTCATCAGGAGACCCATCAGTGTGAGATGAAAACCTGGGTCAACACCAGGCCCTCATCCCCGGGGGCAATGAGGCAATGCAGGAATAGATAACTGCTGGTGTGATGAGGTGATCTTTTATTCTATAGAAATCCTCCCTCAGAATTCTTCCTGCAAGTTCCCCTCTAAAACAGGACCAGAGGCCACAAATCCTGAGAGTTCTGTGTTATTTCTTGTGCAGGGACAGGGAGGGCCTGTGACCTCTGGGCATCCAGTATTGCCCAGGTAGAGAGGGTGGGAGGGAACCGGGGGCCCTTCTGCCCAGTCAGGGGGGCAGGAGCCCCGGGAAAGGAAAGGACTGGGAGAAAGAGGGACCGCGGAGCATTTGAGATGTGGGGCAGAGGTGAGTGGTATGTCACAGCTGCTACAAGTGGACTTTCAGAAAACTCTGCCACATTATGCCCTGTGCAGACGTCATTGACTGCTCTGAATAATACGTATAGAATATATAGTTGATATTAGGAAATATTCTCAGCATTTTTCTTATTACTTATGAATTCCCTTGGGAATTTTCCCCAGAGCACATTTTGGCTGCTGTCCTCTGCTTTTGGTCATCCACTGTGGTTCTGAGTGTGACAGCAGGTGGACATGGGGTCGAAATGGCCGCAAGCTTACTTGGGTTTCATGACAATCTCAGGGTGACCTGAGAGGAAATCACTTATAAAACCAGAGCAAGGTACCTATGAGGGGGTGGAGGGTTGGGGAGAACACAGAAGGTAATATTAGTATAAAAACATGATTCCCAAGTTAAAAACACCATGCTGATATAAGAACCAACTAACTGAAAAAACAAAAACAAAACCCCAACATAGCCAAAAATCCAAGTCCAGAGAGGAATAAGAAAAGAAAAGAAATAAGATTACCTACAATAGATGGATACCTCAAAGTTGTAACTGGATGCAGATTTTATACAATTTAATACAGAGCAAGTCTACAAGTTCTGAGAATCTCTGGAACTTAAAATAGACGCAGCCAAAGTATCACTAAAGCGTGAGAGCAAACTGGAAGCTCCTAACATGTGTGAGAGTGAAAGCACACGGAAAAGGTTCTCACCATGAAATCGGAAAATTACCCACAGTGGTGAGCAAATGAATCTGCAATTACGTCTGAGTCAAATCTACAAGGGAATCAAGTTGGAACAAAGCCTGATGGCAGAGTTATCAGTCTTTGCAGCTGTCACAGGCACCCTTGGTCAGAAGGCAGAAGGAGAGCAAGACGGCATCTGCCAAAACTATGAGCACCAGGCATACACTTACCCCCAGCTTCTTAGGACACATAAATGAAAGCAGTGACTGAAGCCCAAAGCACTCCCAAGTGTTGCTTGGGGCTCCCTCAGTCCCTCTACCAAGCTCTTGAAGGTGTTGGGTGGAGCTCTGGCTGGCAATGATGGTGGTTTCCCACAATGTGGTGTGGGACCCCTGCAGACTCTGCTTGGAGATGTCCCTGGCAATGCTTGGGGCTCCCCCAGTCCCTCTACCAAGCTCTTGAAGGTGTTGGGTGGAGCTCTGGCTGGCAATGATGGTGGTTTCCCACAATGTGGTGTGGGACCCCTGCAGACTCTGCTTGGAGATGTCCCTGGCAATGCTTGGGGCTCCCCCAGTCCCTCTACCAAGCTCTTGAAGGTGTTGGGTGGAGCTCTGGCTGGCAATGATGGTGGTTTCCCACAATGTGGTGTGGGACCCCTGCAGACTCTGCTTGGAGATGTCCCTGGCAATGCTTGGGGCTCCCCCAGTCCCTCTACCAAGCTCTTGAAGGTGTTGGGTGGAGCTCTGGCTGCCAATGATGGTGGTTTCCCAGGATGTGGTGTAGGACCTCTGCAGGCTCTGCTTGGAGATGTCCTGGGCAATGCTTGGGGCTCCTCCAGTCCCTCTACCATGCTCTCGAAGGTGTTGGGCGGAGCTCTGGCTGGCAATGATGGTGGTTTCCCACAATGAGGTGTGGGACCCCTGCAGGCTCTGCTTGGGGGTCTTCCAGGCAATGCTTGGGGCTGTCTCAAGTGCCCCAGCAGACTCCCCATGGTGTTGGGTGAGGCTCTGGCAGGTGCCACTCTGAACTCCCCAGGGTGTTGTCTGGGGCTTCTGCAGGCACAGCTGGGTGTTCTCACAGGTTCTGTGTGGGACTCTTCCCGGTGCCGTGCCTGGCTCCCCAGCCTGTTGGGTTGGGCTCTTCTGGGCACTACGTGGTTCACTCACAGGCTGCATGGAGCTCTCCCAGGCGCTTCGCTGGGCTTCTGCAGCTCTGCACAGCACTAAGGGATGTAAATGGATTCTGTAGGTATAAAGGGTATGGATTGCTATTCCCCACCTTATGGTGCTGCACACCCTCATATCACTGATCCCCTCTCAGTAGGGCCTGCTCTCATCTCCATTAATAAAAGCCAAGTCTAATTTTCACCCAGTTTGAAATATGTGTGCTGTGACCTGCACAGCTACGTTCAGGATCTGAAGGAGGGGCTGATGCACAAATGAAAATGCTATACAAGAAATAAGAATTTGGCAGGCATTGGGGGGCCAGGTGGAAACCTCTTTCTTGTAGAGGCACCCTGAGTTCTGGCCTGGTCCACTTTTTATTTACTTGAATACACATTTGCCCTTTAGCAATGCATACAGGCAGATCAAAGGTAAAGTTTGGTAAACAATGTAAAGATTATCAGGTCGGGAAATCTCGAGCCATTGCAATCACAGCAAGATTCAGCCTTGCTGAATATCAAAGTCCATTGGCCTTCCAATGTTTCTTTTTTTAAAAAATACATATTTTTATTGATTCCAGAGAGGAAGGGAGAGGGAGAGAGAGATAGAAACATCAATGATGAGTGAGAATCATTGATCGGCTGCCTCCTGCACACCCCAGGGAATACCCTGACTGGGAATCGAACCTGGGACCCTTCAGTCCACAGGCTGATGCTCTATCCACTGAGCAAAACCATAGGGCCCTTCCAATGTTTCTTAACTGCTGTTTGCTTTAGCCTTTGGCATATGTGCAAAAGAGAAAATGTGTATTTATTAATTTAAATTCTTATCTCTTGGGAGATCAGATCAGTTAAAAAAAACCAGGGACCAAACACCTGACTTCCTGTGTCATTATTTTATAGATTTAAATGGGCACAATTAAAGTGGGCTCCCCTTGAGTGCTCCCACAGCTTCCCTGTGTGGATAAAGTGCCAAGTGTGGAACAGCCCCTCCCCCCACCCAAGGGAGTAACTCCAGGGGTAATCAGCCTCTCATTCACCCAACCACCCATCCATCCAACTTCTGATGTCCATCTGCTTGGGGCCAGACCTTGTGGGAAATACCACTTCCTACTGCAGATTCAGCTCTACCCCACCTGCTCCACATGTAGAGAAATGAAACAATAGTGCTGTCCCATCTGCCAATGGCACAGACCCATTTCTCTATACTTCTTAAGGGGAGGTGTGCTGGTGAGGACCCCAGGACTGGGAGAGCAACAAAGAAGACAATGGCCAGAGCAGGCTCCTTCTCTCTCATGAAGCCCACTTCCCACCACCGCCATGCAGCCAAACTGCTCAGGCCCTAGAGCTGAGAGCCAGGGAAAACGCTCTTCCTCCCTGTCTCGCCTAACACACAGCTTTCATATTGCCGCTGGATATGAACACACACTCCACCACACACACACTATCACACACATCACACACACACACCACCACCACCACCACCACCACCACGTACCAAGTACCACACACACACCACCCCAGCCCACACACACCACACAAAACACAACACACAAACACACAAATACACATGCACACACACTACACACACATAAACACCACATACACCACTCACTGGCATCTTTATGACACTATGACCTCTGTGTAAACATGTCTAAACCCCGTCACTGGACACAGACCCCAACATTTATGAATCGTTAGTTTGCTGTGTCTTGCTGGGTCTTGGACTATCTTTCTGGAACTCCAGTGGCCAAACCTGCTAGTCCCCTGGTGAGGACAGAGGAAGAAGTGAAGCACGAACCTCCCTTGCAGCCACACACACTCTCCTTTCTTAATTCTCAAAGTCGTCCTGACTGAACAAAACAGGGTGCACTCTCTTGCTCAGGCCAGGCCAAAATGAGGACTTGCAACCAGTCCCCAGGACCTCGCTGGTTGACATGGCAACAACATAGACCAAGGCACCTCATAAAGCCCAACCCATGACCATGCCCATTGCCAGTTGTGGGGGAGTGGAGGGAGGGTGGGGACAGCCTCTGAACATGCCCATTGCCAGTTGTGGGGGAGTGGAAGGGGAACTGGAGCAGACCCTGTGGAGACCCTGAGGATAAGACGCAGGGGGCCTCAGACAAGCTGGGCTGGTGGGCAGCACTACCCTTCATCACCTTCACTCGTGTCCATTTTACATGGTCCTCAGTTCTACCTAGAATGCTTCCTGTCACAGCCCCTCAGTGACAAAGCAGCCAGCTCATGGCCCTCCCTGACCTCCTGCTTACTGTGGCCCAGGAGTCAATCCCCACTTTCCTCGTCACACTTGACAAGTCAGCTGTTTTGCTCCAGGAGCTGAGACTCACATACACTGTCCAAGGCGTTGGTGCCTCTGGGTCAGATCTGGGGACCATGGCACCAACACAGTCGCCTGAGCCTGATGGTCCTGCCAGATGCCCTCTTAGTGGCCACAAAAGTGCCACAGCAGAAGGAGAAGAGTCAGGAAATGAGGGACATGTGAACACCGTGTGCCGAATGGGGAGTCATGTGCCAGAGAGGGCTTTTAATGGAAACCAATCGGTCACTGGGAACCAGCTCACCCAGGGACCACATCTTCCTTTGGCTAGCTTCATTCCTCTACATGAATGGCAAGATCCCAGCGATGGGACCACAAACATTGCTGAGCGCCTCCTGTTGTTCCTGTTTCTCCTGGTTCCCCATATTCCCCCTGCAGGCCCAGGTTGCCACCTTGATACCAGACATGCAAGGGTCTGGCTGCCCACTGCTACCAGAGTCAAATAAGTAGAGACAAGGCTGAATCTTTATGGTGCGTTTCATTAATCAGATAGCCGGCATCTGAGCAGCAGGTGTAACACCCTGAAAAGACTGCTCTGACATTTCATTTCAAACCAGCTTTTATACAGGGATAGTGGGTGGGGAAAAATCTAAAGTCGGTGAGTTTCCAGGGTCTGCCTTTCTTCACTGTCCTTGCAGAGACTAGCCCCGGAGAAGATTGGCCGGGAAGGCCGTCTCCCTTCAGAGAGGCCCTGTCCTTGATCTGGACTCCAGGTTGCCTCCTCTCCAGGGCCTGTTCTTCCCTGCAACACATGCTCCAGTTGCCCAGGGTCTGTAAGAATAGTTCTTCTTTAGAGGGCGTAGCTATTGAACAACCGTGATTCTATTTCTATTACGTGCCCCTCCCCTATCAACCTGACTGGTTCCAGTTGATCTGGCCCATATCCCGAGCCCTTTTCAAAGTAGCCAGGAGTCTATGAAGAAAAAACTAAGTTGTTTTGTTGTTGTTCTTCTAAGAAAATGGTTTTTCTTAGAAGCACAAAAATTGATTCAAGAAGAAATAGAAAATTCAAATACATATATAACAAGTAAAGACACTGAACTCCAAATTTTAAATTCCCCTTTAAGAAAATATCAGGCTCTGATGGCTTTATTGGTGAATTCTAACTAAATTTTTTTTTTTTGTTAATCATCATCTGGGGATATTTTTCCCATTGATTTTTAGAGAGAGTGGAAGGGAGAAGGAGAGACACAGATAGAAAAACATCCATGTGAGAGAGACACATCAATTGGTTGCCTCCAAAACAAGCCCAGACCAGGGCCAGAGATGAAGCCTGCAACCAAGGTTCATGCCCTTGACAGGAGTTGAACTGGGATCCTTAATTCCATGGGCCCATGCTCTATCTATTGAGTCAAAGCAGCTTGGGCTCTACCTAATGCTTTTAGAAAAAAATCATACCAACTGTGCACAAACTCCTTCAGAAAACAGAGAAGGAAATAATACTTCCCAATTTATTCCATGAAACCAGTATACGATACCAAAGCCAGACAATGCCATCACAAAAGAATATCATAAGCCAATATCATTCATAAATGTGGAGGCAAATATCATTAACAAAATATTACAAAATATTAGCAAGTAAATTCAGACACACACACACACACACACACACACAGGATTATACACCTGACTAACTTAGGGTTATTTCCAGGAATGCAGGAATGAAAACATCTACAAATAAATTAAGATAATAAGAATGTTAAAAAATTAAAGTATATTAAACATAAGAGCATAAAAAAAGCTCTTGATATCACACATTTGTTGATGATAAAAAATTTCACAACCTAGAAAAAAGAAACACCCTTAATATGATAGAAAGCACTGATGAACCTTAGAACTAATACATACTTAATTCATACCAAATGCTTTCCCCTTAAGATTGGGGCCAAGGGAAAATGTTCACCTCAAATGTGCATTCCACATGTTACTAAATTTCCAGCCAGTACAGTAAAGCAAGAAATAGAAATTAAAATCATATTAATTTGAAAATGAAACTATTAATTTGCAGGAAACATGATCCTAGCAAATCTGATAAAGCTAACAGAAATAATAAGATAGCTTAGCAAGATGGTAAGATATACAACCAATATAAAACACTCAATTATATTTCTATACACTAGTAATAAAGAGCCTGAAAACAGTACTAAGAAATCTATACCATTCACAATAGCACCAAAAATAATAAAATAATAAAACAAGTGCACAATCTGTCTGCACTTAAAGCTTCAAACTATTGCTGAGTGAAATGAAACACAGACAAAATAAATGGAAAGGTTTGTAATATTTATGGATCGAAACGACTCAGTATTGTCTTGATAGAAAAGTTGCCCCGAATTGATCTATAGATTTGCCATGATCTCTATTGAATTCCCAGCTAGCTTTTGTTTTTCTTTTTTAAAAAATCTGATCATAGAGTGTATATGAAAATTCAGAGGATTTAGAGTGGCCAAAATAATTTAGAGAATGAGAACAAAATTGGAGGACTTAGAGTACCTGACTTGAAGTTGGTGCCACAGTCCCCAGATCTGACCCAGAAGATCGTTATAACTTCCCTATAAAGCCAGAGTAATAAAGATGATGGGACTGGTGTAAGGACTGATGTAGAGATCAAATGGAACAGAATAGAAACTCCAAAAAATAAACCTTTATTTTTTTGGTCAATGGATTTTAAATAAATTTGTGAACGTAATTCAAAGGGGAGAAATGAGAGTGCTTTAGC